GGTTTAGGGTTTAGGGTTCCAAAACCAAGTACTAGATTGAAGGGCTAGGAAGAATGAGGCCCCAAACGACCATCCTGATCAAGTTTCTGGGGAGCTTTTGTAGTTTATATTGAGCCTCTTAGTTAGTGAAGGCTCTGACCAAGAGCTGACGGGAGGCAGGTGGGTCGACGGAATTCCATGCTAGCTGCGGCGCGGGGTCTCCGTGCCGACAAGCCCTAAAGCTCTCGCAGCTCGGGGTCCATTGCTTTGAGGGTGCTTATTGGCTTTCTCAAATTTATAGGTGCCATGTTCCATTATTTATACCATTGTTATAGCTTGTATTATCCTGGCTGTAGCTGACATGTGTGGGTGGTTCTAGGGCTTGGTTTGCAGGCTTGCGGACTCAACACGATCGGAGCGTTGGTTCCAGGTCGGGAGCCTCAAACCGGTCGAACCTCTCGATTCAGGATGCTCTCAGCAGCTACAAAGGGTTAAAATGTAGGGTTTAGGCTGAGGGTGTAGGGGAACTTTAGGGTTTAGGTTGAGGGTGTAGCGGAACAACCGTCATGGATGAACGGATGCAATGAAGCCCCTTACCCTGGAGTCCGCACAATCCCGTCCTCTCGTGCCGCAGGAACATGACAGAGGACGTCCCAAACTCCTCGGAGAAATCCGGAAACATTGCTTTGCTCAGGTGATGATATACATATATATATATATAACATGTATACAGATACGTACAGATTCTGTGTATGTAAGACATACATATATACATACACAGTTTTGAAGCCCTGAGGAACGATGAGGGGGGGTGGGGGGAACTCTCGAAATATGTTTACCAAGCAGTGGGCTTTAGGGTGTAGGGTTTAGGCAAGAGGCAAGGTCTTGTCGAACCTTCAAACTACTAGAACGGGAAAACCATAAACGCCCCACCATCCTAAACCCTAAACTGGACACCCATGGACCCCCAGGCAAGCGCACAGAGCCCGAAGCCAACTCCACTCCCGATAACTAGGTTGACGGTGTGATAATAACAGAAGCCCTAAGCCCTAAACCCATAGTTACGGAAGGCGACTACACAGCTTACGACTAGTACCCAATCGGTCGTAACCGCAGAAGTCACATGTTCATGCTCCTACACCTGGTAACAACAGTTGTGATCAATATCGCCACAGTACTTTTACGGACCTTACAGAACCCAAACAAAACATGAAGTCATAGCCCCACCAGCAAGAAACCCAAGCACACACCCAGCACCATGCTAAGGAGTTCAATAACACTCTCGGCGCTTTTCATGATCTGGGTTGAAGAAAGTTCTGGGGCCCTGAAGGGGATTTATGAATAGGTACCTCTACAGGAACCATGAGGGAAATTAAAAACGTTTCCCAAAGCCGCCTGGATAGTCTTTATGCAGGCCCTGCTTGGGAAGCTTGAGACATTCCCCATCTCTTTGCTTGGGGCCGGCTTTAGGTGCTTTCGGAACGTGGCTTTTGAATTGAGGCTCTACTGATGAAGAAGGGTAATAGAGAGCCCTGAATAATTAGAATAGGGTTTTGGGGTATGTTATACCACAATTCTAATAGGGAGCCCCCAAAACCCTATTCTAATTATTAGGCCCCTGAATTATGTCTTTGTTTAGGGGTTCCTGCATGAAACTGTACCAAGGAAGGAGAAGCACGCTGATTTCGGCTCTACCTCTGACTATGAGCTCTGAACATCCTGCTGATAAGAACCCTGACAACCCCTGGACCCAGAACCATGATAGTAAGTAAACCCTAAACCCTAAACCCTTAACCCAAAACTCTAAACCCTAAATAGCCCCAATGAAAGCCCTGGAGGATGGCCTTATGAACCCTACTTAACGACCAAAGGGCCCGGTAAATAGGGCTGTAAGCAGAATCTAAACCGTCAGCCTTACAAGTCCCAACTCCAAAAGACGTCTAAGCCCTAAACCCCAAACCCTAAACTGGACCCTGAACCCTATACAAGTCCTAAGCTCCAAAAGACCTGCAAACCCTAAACCCTAAACTGAAGCCTGAACCCTATAAAAGTCCTCAACTCCAAAGACCCCAAACCCTAAACTGGACCCTGAACCCTATACAAGTCCTAAGCTCCAAAAGACATCATCGTCGTGGACCACCATGACCTCCATCCGGTAGATGACTTGTAAACCCTAAACCCTAAACTGAACCCTGAACCCTATACAAGGTCTTACAAGGTTTCAACTCCAAAAGACCCCTAAACCCTACACTACGTAGGTCCTGAACCCTACAAGTCCTAAACTCCAACAGACCCCAGGAACGCAGGGCCCCCGACTCCGTGGTCGTGCTCTCCGAGAATTGCCTCGCTCACGAAGCCCTGGGAGGTGAAGAGGGGGATGAGGATTCAGATATAGGGGTTTAGTGCTTAGGGTTTAGGGGTTAGGTTCAAGATGGTTTGAGGTTTAGGGTTAGGAGCGATGGTTTTGGTGCCTTTACGGTGGCCCGATACCTTGTTTTCTCGAGGGCTTGTGCTCACCTAAACCCGCAAAGGTAGGTAAAATAACGGCCCAAAACCCATAAAAAGGCTATTATTCTGCATACTTTTGGGGTCCAGGTATGGACCAGCGGCATGGGAAAGACCTCCACGTGGTGACAATTGCCGACTGCGTAATAACCAGTGTCCGTAGGCCCCATCTCTAGGGATCCTTAAGGATTGGGGTTAATGTAGGGGCCTTAATAATTAGAGTAGGGTTTTGGTGTATATTTTTGCTATAATTATAATGAGGAACCCCACAATAGTATAGGTGATTATCTAGGCCCCTATCTTAGGTGTAAGGCTTCAAGGTGTAGGCTTCAAGATGCAGAGGGGCTGGTGAAACGCTTGCAGATCTCTCCCTCTGCCTTTCGTTAAGTCTCGCTGTCTTTATTCGTTCCTGTTGTCGTTAGGCATTCATCTCTTGCCACATGTTCTGTCTCTCGCCAGTCATTTCTATAATCGCCAGTTCTCCGTAGACTTCGTTCCAAAGCCGACACTGCAAGAATAAATGCGTGTGAAGCCCTGTACATGCCAACAAAGCACGAAGACAAGTCTTACAAGCTCTGCGAAACCTCCCCCTAAAGGAAACCCTCAGTTAGTCGCTCGAGAAACTGTAGAAGCTCCTGAAATATCTATTCAAAAACACTACAAAGTTCTGTAAACCGGCCGATAACCCCTCTACAACACCTGAGCATCCCAAACTCTACCCTTAAGCCCAGCCCTGCAAATCTCTTCAAACAAGGCGCCAATACGGCACCGCAAAAAGGCCCCAACCCCTAAACGCCTAAAGATTCCTTTAAAGAAACCCCCATAGATCCCTTAAAGCCTTGAACCCTAAACTCCTATAGATCCCTTCAAGGGACCCCTGAAACCCTAAACCCTAAATCCTAAACCCTAAACCCAAAGCCACATAAACCCTAAACCCTGAATCCTAAACCCTAAACCCTAAACCACATAAACCCTAAACCCTAAATCCTAAACCCTAAATCCTAAACCCTAAACCCTAAACCCTAAACCCTAAACCCTAAACCCTAAATCCTAAACCCTAAACCCTAAATCCTAAACCCCCTAACCCCTAGACCCTGGTAAAAGGAAGCCCTAAGCCCAGCTCCCCGTCCCCTCCGCCTGGAGGTCCTCCAAAGCCCAGGGCATGTCGTTCTGACCGTCGACCTCCAGTCCTCACGGCTTTAGGAAGTTAGGGGTTTAGGGTTTAGGGTTTAGGGTTTAGGGTTTGGGGCTCAGAGTTTAGGGTTTAGGGTTTCGGCCTAGGGTTTAGGGGTTGAGGGGTCTAGGGTTTAGGGTTTACGGGTTTAGGGGATTAGGGGTTTAGGGGTTTAGGGTTTAGGGTTCAGGATTTGGGGCTAAGAGTTTTGGGTTTAGGGTTGGGGCCTAGGGTCTAGGGGTTTAGGGTTTCGGGTTTAGGGGTTTCGGGTTTAGGGGTTTAGGGTTTAGAGTTCAAATGCACAGGGGTTTGGGGTTTAAAGGGGTTTAGGATTTAGGGTTTTTGGGGCTTGTAGGGCTTGTCTAGGCTTATAGAGTCGAGGGTTCTATTTTTGAAAGCTGGGTTGACCTTATACCTGTCATTAGCTCTGTTCAGGGTCTTGGCTTTGGGCTTAGGGTTTGCGGTCTATTCTTTTTACATATCTTAGAGGGAAGCATTAGGATTCTACAGTTTCATGGGATATACACTACATATTTATTGGCTTAGGGCTTTAACTGTTTATGCTTTGGGGTTTGGGGAGTGCCTTATGACAATATAGGGGCTGTAATCATTATTAGAAGGGTTTTCAGGGGTATAATCTAGTATACTTCTGGTAGGAACGATAAAAGCAAACTAACACTACTTGTTCCGATCCCTAAACCGTATCCTTTGGTTTGCCGAGATCTTGCAGTTGAGGGCTTATCAGCTGTAAGGTTGTGAGCTGTGTTATTTCATTTTTCTTGTTCCTCAATGCGTGTTTTGCTTCTGGGGCCTGCAGTAAGTAATGTCAGTAAAAGGATAACTCTAGAATCCTCGGGTTCTTTTTGGTACTTTAGTTTGGATTTCTGGGTTTGTTGCTTTGGGGAGTTTCGGATGTTGGGCTCAGGGAAGCACCACAGAGGCTCAGGGATTTTGCATTCGGGCTTGAGGCTTCTAGGTTTAGGGGTTAGGGTTTAGTCGGGTGTCGGCTTTCGGGTTTCGGCATTAAGGGGTTAGGGCTTGAGGCTTTGTGGCGTACCTGGACGGGCCCCAAAAGTATGCAGAATAACGGCCAATTATGGGTCGGGAGCCATCGTTTCACCTACTTCAGGGGGCTTAGGTAAGCTTTGTAGGGTTTAAGGTTGGGATCTAGGTTTAGGGTTTACGGCTTGTTTAAGGTTTTGGTTTAGGGTTTCAACGGAGTATAGGAGAAGACCAGTGGTGCAAGAATGCTTCGTATTCGCGGTGACTTAAAGCTCTAAGGCGGTTAAGGGCTATGCAGGTTCAGACAGAACACAAGTCACATGTCCCCATCTGTGCTCTTTAAGCCTAGCAAGTCGAAACCCCCAGAGCAAGTCGAAACCCCAAGAACATGATAGTATCGAAGCCCTTCCTACAAGCCATGAACACAAACCCTAACCAAATCAACCTCATACATCACCCAATCCCCCTCCCCAAAATCACACTCCGGAAAGCTCTAAACCCTGAACCCTAAACCCCAAACCCTCAGCCCTAAACCACCAAATATCCAACCGTTCAAATCCCTTACTTCGCACAGCTTCGACTCAGGTTTTCCACGAACAGCGCGGCATACATCCTCGCGGGGGCCATTGCGACAAGAAAACCCGGTTGAGTTCAGAAGGTTCCAAGCTGTGGTCATTGCAGTAACAGTTCTGTTGCTACTACCTAATGCCTCTTATTGCACCTAACAACACAAAAGAAAATCATCAAACAAACGAAGAAATGAAAAGGTAAATAAGGAAATCACTAAACAAATAAAGTAAACACATAACAAAAACAAGTATGTATTTTGAAACTGATTGAAAATAGATACATGAATACTAAAATACGTACTTAAACAATATAAGCCCAGGACGGAAAGGATTTGGGTCTATGGCTCAGGGTTTTAGGCTAAGCCAGGTGAGGAGTTCAAACAAAAACGATTCCCGACTGAATGTGCCCATGTGGTAGTTAGTTTGGCCCTTACGTGCATTTACATATGTCTGTATGTATGTGTATATATATATAACAGACAGTTCAGGTCAAAGTGTAACATAGTTGTCATATATGGCTATATTCCATGATCTGTTATTTGGGCACACGCCCCTAGGGCTACAGCTTGTCTTGAAAGCCTGGAAGATACTTAATAATATAGGGGCCTTAATAACAGAATAGGGTTTTGGTGTCCTTTATAGTATACTTATCAATATAGGGGCCTTAATAACAGAATAGGGTTTGGGGGTCCTTTACAGTATACTTATGAATATAGGGCCTGAATAATAGAATAGGGTTTGGGGGTCCTTTGTAGAATAATTATAACAAGGAGCCCCCCACAAGAATATAGGCAATTCTTGAAGCCCCTATACTACACGAGGATGTCAGCAAGCTACCATCCCACTGCAGGCACAACTGAGCCGCACACCGCCCACACTCTCAGTCTTAAGCCATAGGGACCCTTAGGGGGGCAGGGAACTATACTTCCTTAACAGGCCTGGTTAGCTCCTTGTTATCCTATGATTACATGCCCCAGACTCCGAGTAAGTCATGAAAGCGACCCTGTACAAAAAAGAGAACACCGACCCTTCCAAACAATATCTTACAGAAGCTTACACCCCTGGAGGCAGCTCTAAACCCTAAACCCTACCTGCACCCTAGATAACCTACCTTCCTAACGACGTATACAAGGAACTCAAAATAAGGAGCTCTAAACAAATGTTAGGGTCCAGGTAAGCCCCGCAAACTGCTTCGGACAGCAGGGACTGTCCTGCAGAAGTTCCAAGAGGCAGTGTGGACTTTTGCGATCTCCACAAACTCATCTGTGCAGTGGCTTAGAGCGTTGAGAGTTTGGGGCTTCGGGGCATTTAGGGTGGTTTGGGTTTGGCTTCAAGGTTTAAGGCGTCCTGCTCAGTGTGGGTGGCGCATGGCGCGCTTGAAAAGGCGCCCTGATCTGAGTGTCCACAAAACCCATACGAAAATCACAAACAACAAACCCTAAACCCCCAAACCCCAAACCCTAAACCCTAAACCCCAAACCCTAAAGCCTAAACCCCAAACCAGAAAGCCTAAAACCCCAAACCCTAAACCCCTAAAGCCTAAAACCCCAAACCCTAAACCCCTATACCTGGCCTGGCTTGATCAAGCCAATCGATGACGCCGAGCGAGCGGTGCACTGTCCACGATGCCACCTAAGCTCCCGGGATGAGGGGTGTGGGGCTCAGGGTTTAGGGCTTTTTGTCTAGAGTTTACGGTTTAGGGTTTAGGGATTTATGTTTAGGGTTTACTGTTTAGGGGTTTATGTTTAGGGTTTGGGGATTAGGGTTTTGGGTTTCATAGGGCTAGATGGGGTTTTAACGTGGTTTTGGTTCATGTCGTTTCAGAGGATTTCAGAGGGTTGTAAACGGCTTAGGGTATAGAGTTTAGAGGATTTACAGGGAACAGACTTTTGGATTATGGTTTAAGGGTTAGGGTGTGTGGAGTTTGAAGGTTTTGCTTAGGGTGTACGGGTGTTTAGCAATGACATGCCCCGACTCCCTAAACCCTAAGCCCTATAAACCCTATAAGCCCTAAGCCCTGAACCCTACACCCATGACAACCCCTAAACCCTAAACCCTAAACCCTATAAACCCTATAAGCCCTAAACCCTAAACCCAAAACCCTAAGCCCTAAACCCTAAATAAACCCTAAGCCCAAAGCCCTAAACCCATGACATGTCTTAAAAAGCCACTGTCTGATCCGTCCCGAAACCATGCTGTCACTGTTGTTCATGTAGGGGCCTTAATAATTAGAACAGGGTTTTGGTGTATATTATAATCGAATTATACTAAGGAGCCCTAACAATGGTATAGGTAGTTATTTATGCCCCTATATTATCTTCCGCCTTTTTGTTTGGGGGGCGGCTTCTGCATACAAGACGAAGAGTCCCAGAAACTATTGAATCTGTGCTTCTGGGCTTTCGGTGCTCTTGAGGCTTAATCTAGGGGCCTTAATAGTTGGAATAGGGTTTGGGAGTATATTATACTATAACTATAATAAGGCCCCCCCCCCCAAACAAACAGCATAGGTAATCATTAAGGCCCCTATATTCGAGCAGAGGGTTGAAGGTTTCGGGATAAGGCTTTTCAGGATTTTGGGGGAC